AGTTCTTCTGTGTATTCTTGCCACCTCTTCTTAATATCTTCTGCTTCTGTTAGGTCCATACCATTTCTGTCCTTTATTGTGCCCATCTTTGCATGAAAACTTCTTTGGTATCTCTGATTTTCTTGAAGACATCTCTAGTCTTTCCCATTCTGTTATTTTCCTCTTTTTCTTTGCATTGATCACTGAGGAAGGCTTTTTTTTAATCTCCCCTTGCTATTCTTTGGAACTCTGCATTCAAATGGGTGTATCTTTCCTTTTGTCCTTTGTCTTTCGCTTCTCTTTTCTCAGCTATTTGTAAGGCCTCCTCAGACAACCATTTTGCCTTTTTACATTTCTTTTCCCTGGGATGGTCTTGATCACTGCCTCCTGTACAGTGTCACAAACCTTCATCCATAGTTCTTCAGGCACTCCCTGTCTATCAGATCTAATCCCGTGAATCTGTTTGTCACTTGCGCTGTATAATCGTAAGGGATTTGATTTAGGTCATACCTGAATGGTCTAGTGGTTTTCCCTGCTTTCTTCAATTTAAGTCTGAATTTGGCAATAAGGAGTTCATGATCTGAGCCACAGTCAGCTCCCTGTCTTGTTTTTGCTGACTGTATAGAGCTTCTCCATCTTTGGTTGCAAAGAATATAATCAGTCTGATTTTGGTATTGACCATCTGGTGATGTCCATGTGTAGAGTCTTCTCTTGTGTTGTTGGAAGAGGGTGTTTGCTATGACCAGTGCATTCTCTTGGCAAAACTCTGTTAGCCTTTGCCCTGCTTCATTACTTGAAGGCCAAATTTGCCTGTGATGTGTTTATTTTATATCAAATATAAAAATAAGACATTGGACAATAGTAACACAAAGGCTTGGAGGAGAGAAATGGAAGTTATATACAAATCGTAAGGTTTTTGTATAACACAGGAAGTGGTGTAATGTTATTTGAATGTGTGCCATGATATCCTGTAAACCTATAATCCTTAAAGTAACTACTTACATAACAGTTACAGGTGGCAAGCCAGCCGAGGAGAAAAGGAAGTGTTTTCATTGTGATCTAGTATCCTACTGTAGGAACATACAGCAGTATATTATGTAACGTCCAGTGAGTGGACATTTCAGTAGTTTTAGTTGTGGCCAGTACACATTCCCACTTTGAACGTATCTCCATGTCTATCTATGTGAATCACAGGAGTTTCATATAGTTATGTGATACTGAATTACTGAGTTTGAAGCAGAGGTAAGGTAATATTGTTATCCAGAATGTTTTCATCAGTTACATTCAGCAGCCAAGTAGGCAGTTTCTATTATTCTACACTGCCCCCCCCCCAAAACATTCGGTATTACCTGTCTTTTCCATTGTAGTCAGTCTGGTAGGTATATAGTTATATCTCATTGTGATGGTAATTTGCATCCTCTCTCATCCCTTTTAATTTTCCTATCTCTTCCTCTACCCCTCCTTTACCAATCCTTCACTTATCCCATCATAACAGCTAGGAGCTTTAGGTCACCTCGACAATGACATTCACACATAAAAAGCTCTGATTCAGAGAGTCTACTGTGAATTCTCTGCATGTGACCACTGGGGTGAAAGCAAAACATCTTTACAGATTTCATTCTGCAAGGAGTCATAAAAATGTGAAAAATTTTATTGTAAAATCTGTATACATGGAGAGAGAAAGCATGCATTTATTTGTTCAGCTGTAGTTCAGGGGAAGATCTCTGCAGACGTATGTATGCATGTGTTTGGCTGCGCCAGGCCTTTGTTAATGGCGCGTGGCGTCTCGTTCCCTGACCAGGGATAGAACCGGGCCTTGCACTGGGAGTGTGGGCTTGGCCACTGAACCACCTGGGAGGTTCCTGGTCTCAGAAATTTTAAATACCTGTTTTCCTTATACAACTCACTTCCAGGTTGGATCACTGCTGTGAGTTAATTTTTTTAATTGTTTGATGGAAAGGAAAAACACACTCACATCACTTACTCACTCCCCACAGGTGTGAGATGAGTGACTCGGAAGACGAGGGCCGCCCCCAGCTCTCCTCGCGCGCGCTCGCAGCTCTGCAGGAATTTTACGCTGAGCAGCAGCAGCACCACTCTGACCTCCGTGGTGATGACAAGTATAACATCGGGATAATAGAAGAGAACTGGGTGAGTGAACAAGCGCCGCATCCGTCAGGACGTGTTGGCAGTGTGGAGCGTGTTCTGCACCTAGTCCACTGTTGGTCTTTACCCCACCTAACAGCCCAGTTTGTCTCACTTTCACTAGGAAGCTGATAGCCTGTTCAGTAGCTAAGACACTGGGAGTGCAGATTCTCCTCATTCTGACCCGGGCTGCTTGGTGGTCAGAGGAGGGGACGTTTCAGATAGGGGAAGAGCATATCACCGTGTCCAACACAGTGTACTGCTTTCTCGTAGACAGGTTCCTTCTGTCGGTTTTTACTGGAGCCCAGCATTCCTTGTGGGAAGGGATCATTGTAGTAATGGGGCAACTGGTGTTAAACATGTAGTGAAAAATTGATGAAAGGGATTTTTAAAGAAGATATTAATAGTTCCTGGTGCACAGTATGTATTTTAATTGTATTTCTATGGGCCAAATAAAAATAGGAATTTTTAAAAGTGAGTTGAGGAAAGCTAACCTAAACTCTAACGTAGAAATCTACCTTTTTTGAAGCATAGTTAGAAATAGATGAGGCTTGAAATTTCTTTGACTACCTTGATCATTGATCTGCCTCTCTTCATCCCTTTGCATCTGGGAGGTGTGTGTGTGCAGTCTTTTACATTTTGTGTCAAGTTTGGATCTCTTTAAGTTATATAAAGTTTATATTATTTTATATAAAATTCATCATCTCTTTGAAACTGTGACAGAAATGTTTCTTTACTCTGAATGTTCCACCTACTCATTTGCCTCTAGTTTTCCTTCGTCACGATTTTGTCTTTAGCTTGATGCTTTGAATAATAAATATTAGAAACCTGAAGTCCACCTTAAGGTAATCTTTTTGTCTTTTCCTTTTGCTTATTTAAATACTGTGTACTTTCTGATTCTGAAAGTAATCTATGGTTGGTGTAGAAGATAGGTAAAAACATGAATTAAAAAAAACAAGTCATAATTTCACTACCTGAATTAACTAATTGTATATTTTTGGCACTTGTTTTGGTTTGTTCACAAAAATGAAGAAATCTCCCAGGAAGTTTGAAAGAATACATTATAAAACTAGAGGGCAAGTCCAGGAGGCATGTGTGAAACTTCTGGATGTAGGTGACTAAGAAGATCCTAGAACCTTCTGTAGAAAAGCATGTCACTTCCAGTGTCTCAAGACAGGTCACATTGCACTTCTCAATAGCTTTATTAGAAACTAGGAATAAAGTGAAGCACTGCCTTCAGTGTTTGGAGTGAAAATTTCATTCAGTCTGGGACTCTATGCCCAGATGAGTTACCAATGAAATGTGAGGATAAAATCTTAAATGTATTGTCAGACATGGTAAGTCTCACGACATTGACTTTCCATGCACCACTTTTCAGGAGCTACAGGATGATGTTGAGAGAATTAGGGATAGTTTCGGAGAACCCAAGCAAATGCAACAGTGGTTTGTTTATTAACTCTAGAAGAATAGGAGATGCCATACCAGAAGGAAGCGCAGAATATACTGCATAGCCCAGCAGTGACACTGGCTGTTGATAGAGTTCATATTGGTAAGTAGATATGAATTAAAAGGACAAGTGTATGCCAGGTCTAATATAATTCACTCGTTTCCTGTCACAGCAGCTGAGCCAGTTCTGGTACAGCCCGGAGACGGCCCTGCGCCTTGCTGAGGACGCCGTAGCAGCTGCCGGGGAGGGCGGCAGGTGAGATACCAGGTTTGCTTCTCTTTTGCCTTTTAATCTAAAGTAATACTTTAAATATTCTTCCTGGATGAGAGGTGGTTCATAAGAAGGTTCAGCTGTAATCTACAAAACCTGTGGTTGATGATTTGAAGACCACAAGGAAGTAGGAATGCTTTCCTATGGCATCTAGGGGCACACTCAAAACTCTGTTCCGTGTATGTCATCTTAATCTGTTCCTTATTTTAACATTTTTCTAACCTGTTACTTTTATTCCCCTAGAATTGCTTTAAAAGAAAAAAAATCTTAATGTTTGATCTTTCTGAAATTTTAAGAATTACAGGTTTTGTTAGTTTGGTTTTTATTTCTGTCAAAACTTTGTGTGCATATAAAGTCAAATGGACCTGAAAGACTTGTTGAAAAAAGTAATCCATTGTTAATTTTCCCCTTGTCCCCCCCTTGCCTTTCAGCTCTTCTACATCTCTAAGGCTGTTTATGTTGGCACTTGTTCATTTGTCACTCACAGACATCTTACCTGAAGAGACTAAGGATTTAGCTCCTTCATCCTCCACTGCACAGTGCTTCCTGTCTACGCTCCCAGTAGCTCTGCCCATCTTTTTTATGGTTGGACTTGTTGGTAATGTTTTGTTGAGGCTTTTGCTTCTACATGCTTCCCTGGTGGCTCAGCTGGTGAAGAACCCGCCTGCAATGCGGGTGACCTGGGTTTGATCCCTGAGTTGGGAAGATCCCCTGGAGAAGGGAAAGGCTACCCACTCCAGTACTCTGGCCTGGAGATCCCCATGGAAAAGTCCATGGGGTCACAAAGAGTTGGCCACGACTCAGCAACTTTCATGAGTGATAATTAATTTGAAATTTCCTTTTATTCCCTTGGTTTGGGTTTCATATTAGTAGCTTCATAAAATGACCTGGGAAGTGTTACTGTATTTGTTTTCTGGAAGTGATTGTGTAGAATTGGTGTTAGTTATATCCTATCTTGGTTAAATAGGGTTTATACGTCCATATCACTAATCCTCAAATTCTCCCCAGTGGCATAAAAGTCTTAATCAACGAACTCACACATATTTCAACTCCTTGAAAAAATACCACTCCCCACCCCCAACTTTGCCACCTCTTCTGTCTGGACTGGTTGATGTCCAGTTCTGTTCTTGGTGTTTCCCTCTACCATCTACCAAGTGTCCTCTTAATCTGGTTTTGACCTTCCTGTATCCAGTATCCCAGTCCCTAGTTCACAGCTTTATCCTGGTTGGGTACATCCTTCAACACTTTTCACTAGAGGGAAATTTTTAAAACCTGTCTGAAAATATTTTTATTCTACCCATTCTCTTGATGTGTTAGTTATTGAGAAATACAGTGCCATTCTGATTTCTTAGGCAAAACCTGTTTTTCCCCATCCCTGCCCCCTGCTGGCTTAGGGTTTTCTCCTGATCCCCAGTGTTCTGTGTGTCCTGGTATGGTGCTTTCATCTGTTGAATGGGGTGGAAGCCTTTCTGGTCTCATAACTCGGGTCCTCCAGTTTGGAAAAAAATTTTTTTTTTCTATTCTTCTTTACCTGATTCATTTTTCTTTCTGTCCTTTTCACATATTTTGTCTTACCTGACCTTCTGGGGAAATTCCTCAACTTTATCTTTGAAAATTTCCACTGAGTTTGCCATTTCTGCTGTCATGTACTTTATCACCTGTAATTTCTTAGGTCTCTGGATATTTATCATGGTATCTTGTTCATCCTTCTGAGGATATCACATTACAGGATTTCTTCTCTTCGCAGTCTCTGACTCCAGCATGCCTCTCGTGTTTTATTAATATTTTGGCTCTAGTACGTGCTGACTCTTCTGAGTTGTCTGCTGACCCTCTGCTGTGTGCTTCTAGTTGAGGTGGGCATGCTAAGGCTGGAAGCTCTGATAGTTGGGCAGGCTTTCTCTTTGGTGTTTGCAGTTGGCTGCTGCGGTCAGCTGTTTTCCCAGGAATGCCCGGTCAGTATATCCAGGCTTTTTCTTGTGGGCTGGAAAGAGCCCCAGAAAGAGCGACCTTCCTTAATGGGAGTCATGCATCTCGTTGACCTCATTACAGGAGGCACATAGATCAGGGGTCCCAACATCCGGTGGGTTTAATGTGATCCTTGCCATTCCACACAGCCCTTCACCACTAGTTGTGCCCCCACCCCCATCCGGAGAACATCCTTCCCGTCTTCTCCCACAGTGTGGTGGCTTGGCACAGAGATGAGAATCCTGGGAAGTTTCCTCTTCGATAGACCTTCCAAAGATAGTCCCCCTGCCGCCCCTTCACCCCTACTTCTTGAGTTACTTGGTTTTCAGCTTCCTGAGCTGCAGGTGCTTTGGTGTCGGCGAGGCCCCCTCTCAGCTTTCCTGGCTGCCAGTTTGGGACTTGGCTCCCTTGGGCCTGCAGAGTCAGAAACCACCCAACCCACACCCTTGCCTGTCAGCTTCCTGAGTGTGTTTCCTTTGTCTTCCCTCATTGTCTTGCTGTTGGAGGTTTCTTTCTCATGATTTATTTGCTTTGAAGAAGCAAATCTAAATGAATGTGTTCCCTCTGCATCTTTATCTGAAAGTCCTAAGGCTTTCTTTTTCTTTATATATTAAATATATGAATATTACAAAATAACTTGAAAATATTTAGTTTGAGGCTTAAAAGTATTTGAAATAAATGTTAAGAGAGACCAACAGGAAAATAATAGGTAAATTCAGGTCATGGCCTGCATAACTCTTGTACCTAATGTTTCACATTTTTTACTATGAAAAAAGTACACTTCATACTTAAAAATTATGAGTTGTAGATCTGTAAACACCACATTCCTCCCAAAATTCACTGCTGTTATTACTTTAATTTGTAGTGTTGTTTTAAGAAAATCTGAATGCAGGCCATACTTTTTTAGTGAAGTGGTTATTTGCTGCTATAACACTATCACAAAGCTTGTTCATGAGCTGGGTCTCTCTGTCCCAGAATAGCGTGTGTGAGCGCCCCCAGCGTCTACCAGAAGCTGAGAGAGCGGCACAGAGACAATGTCTCCGTCTGCATCTTTGAGTACGACCGCAGGTTTGCCGTATACGGAGAGGACTTTGTCTACTATGACTACAAGAGCCCTGTGGACTTACCTGAGAGGATCGCCACACACAGCTTTGACATTGTCGTAGCAGATCCCCCCTATCTCTCGGAGGAATGTCTTAGGAAAATGTCGGAAACCATCAAGCTCCTGACCCGGGAAAAGATCATGCTGTGCACAGGTGGGTGCTGGCTGACCACACACTCTGTGACCTCATTCCACTTAACTCCCTGCACCCTGGGGCTGAGGTGCTGGAGACTCTCGGGGCCTGTTGAGAATTCTGTGGCACAGTGCCCCGGAAGTGGGGTTTGGCATGGGGTGAGGGCACCAGGAGTGCTATCTGTACTTAGCAGTGTCAGTTCTAGTAACATGTCTGACTCAGCCTCTCCAGCTGATAAAAGAAATTTGCAACCTCTGGGGTTAAACTGGATGTCAGAGGTTACAGAGTGAGACATTAGGTTCGGTTTACCAGAACAGAAGACATTCTCACTGCTGAGGGGAATTATCCTGGTGTTTCAAAATGAAAACATGAACTGTAGGTCCCCTTACTTCCAGGCCTGAAGCCCCTTGCTCCCCATGGTGCAGTGGGTCCTAAGGACGGGCTGGAGGGAGAAGTACATTCGTACCAGCCTCTGGCTGATGAATGCATCAGTATGAGTTTGCGCAATTAGATATTATTGAGAAAGGGGCCTCTCAGTCCAGGTTGGAAAAGTTTTTAGTAAAATTATCTTTTGTTACTTTGTAGAATATAAGCAATTTTTAAAGTTTCTAAATATCTTAGCTTTGTAGAGGTAGGAACTTGGCAAAAATGTTGGAGGAAGTAAAAGGATAGAAAGCAGTGACCTTCCCCCTATTGTTGAGTGGAACTGTCAGCTCACCGCTCCTCGCCCCAGCCAGCGTGGCGCTGAGGCTTGTCTGGTGGTTCTCTTCAGGTGCTGTCATGGAGGAAGCGGCAGAAAAACTGCTTGGAGTGAAGATGTGCAAGTTTATTCCAGAACACACTCGCGCCCTGGGAAACGAGTTTCGCTGTTTTGTGAATTACGACTCCGGGCTGGACCGTGATCTTTCAGTGCAGCTCTCAGGGCAGGAAGGACCCAAGTGACATTTCCCCTCTGAAAAACTACCACCTCCCCAGTCCTCATTTTCGAGATGAAGACATCATGATTTCCTTAGGATGTCCCTGGAGCTCAGGGTGCTTTTGCTGACTTGAGTCTGTGGAATTATATCTGGAAGAACTTTTAGACTCCATCTAGTCTGCTCTTCTCACTTAACACAGGTAAAGAGCAGTACGTAGTGACCAGCCAAGACCTCAGCCCCTGGCTCTAACAGCCAAGGGATTTGTAGTTGAGGACACAGTTTGTGTTCAGAAGAGGGAGGGCACGTGCTCAGTAAATACTTGTTAAATGAATTCCATTCAGAGAAAAAGTGCAAATAAAGGTTACCTTTCTGGATCTTGGCAAGGAAAGTCAATTCTTCCATTGGGAATGTGATGCCTTTAACAGCTAAGGTGAGCTAAACTGATGAAAATGGTTAATGGAACTGCAGTATTTTCCACATGCAATCCATTTACTCTTTGTCCAGTGCTCTGATGTTTGCACTATTTATATTTGCAGAGTGGCTGGAAAATGTTACACAATAGTGGCGATGATTGAAATAATTACCCAAGGTTTGAAAGGCAGTTTTTCTTTTTGTGTATTTCTTTGTTGTTGACCTGAACCCTTCTGAAAGGTTCAGATATACCAGTATATCTAGTGGTGTATTCCAGATATACCACCACTAGTCTTACTTTACGTTGTTATTTCCAGAGGTTGAGCAGGGAAGTAATATTTGCCCCAAGCTGTATAGAACTACCCACAGCTATCAGTTTCAGTTCTGAATTTTTATTTGGAAAATATGAATTTTGCTCAGCAATGTTTTTCATGTACAACCTCTGTCAATATATAATACAAACTGGAAGTTCTCAGTAAGGCTTCCATTCAGATCAAACCAAGGCTGATTTTAAGTGGGGAAGAGAGCACATAAACAGAGAGACTGATTCACAGTTGCTCTTAAAAACTTCAACCATAAAATTAAGATAAGACCTTAGTAAACATCGTTTCCTCTAAGAACTAGTTGAGCCTATCAAAGCCGAGTCCAGAGAGAAAACCACAGCCAGCATGCCCTTCACCTACCTACAGGTGTTACATAAATCGAGTCTCACGTTTACAAATAGTTCTGGGCTTTAGCTGCAGTGCTAGAAGAGGCTCCACTCTTGGCATTCTGGAAACTGTTAAGTCTGCGCACTTAATAGCTCCTGAAGCCCTTAAAACTAGCCAGATAGCTGGGAATTGACACAGATCTCGAATGCCACGCGCTGACCTCACTGCTTCTTGTCCATAAACTGGCCCCTGACTTTGAAAAGTAAAAAGCTTTCTCCCTGTATAAACCTGTGGCGATTTATATCCTCATGAAAAAAGTGAGACTGGGGTAAGCTGAGCTGCCCATTGGGAGGGCAGGTTCTGTCCAGCCGTGTCCACTGGTGACCAACCAAAGCAAGAGTCAGCCTACCTGAGCTTCTAAAAATTCCTGCTGAGCAAGTGAAAACAATGTTTATAAAATGTTTACAGATCAGGTAAAAACAATATACTTGCTCAAAACGGCTAGTATGAAAATATTTTGTTCCTGCCCCTATTGAAAAAGTAGCTGAATAAACGGTTTACTCTACTTTTTAAAAAAAGACTGCAAACATCCGTCTGTCCTCTGAGACTCGCCCCTCCCTTGGTCCTGGGGGCAAGGCGGGCCACCCCGCTCAGTCCCCATCACCTTCCGGCCGCCCTGCGCGCCTGCTCAAGAGGAAGTCCGGGGCGGCCCACCACGAGGTCCAGTCTGGTCTGGTCCAGTCCACGGCTGGGCACGTTTCCTCGGGCCCGGGGTCCCGGGTGGGCGGTCAGGGCCGGGCCGATTTGTCCAGGCTGGAGTTGGCGGCGTCCGCATCCTTCTCCGGCCCAGGCACGCAGGTGCAGCCCACCGGCACCGTGACGTACTCCTCGACGTAGACGGCGCGACCACCCGCGCAGCCTGGGGTCCGGCGCAGGACCACCGCGGGCACGAGCACTGGGGCGCTGCGCAGGCGCACGTCCTCCTCCCCGCGTGGCCCGGTCAGGCAGCCCCGGCACAGGCAGTAGGCCTCGGGCAGGTACCGCGGGAAGCGGCCGGGGTCGTAGGAGATCCTGTGGGGAGAGGGCGGCGCTGGGGCCCGGGCCACACTCCCTGAACCGCGCCCAGAGTCTAGTGCACACCCCGAAAAGGGAGATGCCCCTTCTCAGCCCGGAGCCTGCAGCTCCTCCAAGGGTCCTGTGGCCTGCCGCTCCGAGCCGCCAGACCCGTTCAGGAGGACCAGACCCAGGTCCCTCTGTCCATCAAGGTCCACGCACCCCCCTGTCCGCGCGAAAGGGCTGAGTGACACGGGGAGGGGGGCGGGCAGGCCGGGACCTGGAAAGTGAAGGAGACTCTAAACCTGACCACTCCGTGTTCTTCCAAGTCACCCTACTTTCTGGTCAGACGCCAAAATCCAAGCGTCAGCGCCCACAATGGGCCTGCAGCCGCGGGCGGACTGACCCCGCCTCCCTGAAACCAGGAGGTCACACTGGTGGGGGCCAGCACTCCTCCCTAACGTCCCCCACGTCACAAGGTTACCATGACCCCAGACCCTCATCGCTGTTCATCTGCCTTCTTCTAGAGCCGAGCCCTTGTGACCCTGAAGTCTCAAGAGTCACAGCTGTGACCGCTGACCTCATGGGGGACACACTATGCTGGTCACGCCTGGGAAGGCCCTAGAATGCTAGTCCCACGGGAGCACAGGACAGAAATAAACCAAACGAGATCAGCCCAAGGGGACCTCTGTGGACTGGTCTTCCCTGGCCTGCACTGCCTGGGACTGCTGGGCAGCAGCTGAATTAAGAAGTGTCCAACTAAAAAGGACCTTCACACAACCAGTTACGGAAGCACAGATGCGGGAAGGCACGTGATGGGTGACAGGGTGGGGAGGCAGAACCTGAACGGCTGTCAGCGTTGGAGGAAGGAGACCGTGTCAGCCAGGCTAACTGCCCACGGCCTGGGGGCAGCCATGGCCCCTGACTTGAAGGAAGGCCCATGGCTCGCTTCCTCCTTTGGGTCCAGCCTCTTTAGACACTGATTGAGCAGATGACTGAGCAAGAAGACCCAGTAATGGCATCTTGGCAGCAAGTCCACCTGATAACGCTGCGTACAAGCCACTTACACAGCAGGAAAGAACTAGGACGGTCTGTGGGGTGATCTGTGGCCCCAAAGAAGGAGGGGGTGCTTAAACTCAGGGACCACGCGCCTGCCCCCAAGCACCCCAGTGCCCAGAGGGACGTGTCAGAGTCGTTGGCCACCACGTGGATGTGGGGATAAGGTCAGGAAAGGTCAGGTGACCAAGACAGGCGTCACAATGGAGAGGGAGAGCCAACTCAGGTGTGGACCCCCCTCAATTCCCTTCTCATTGCTGTGGGGGGTGGCAGCAGAAATCTGTCGAGATGAACAGGAGGAGGGCAGCAGAGCCAGTCAGCCAGCACCCCTGTCTGCCCCAGGACCTCAGATCCACACCGAGCCTGTCCAGCGTGCACACACAGGGCTGACAATATGTTACGGGATTTTCATCACTTACGGTCAGTCCTGTCTTTGCAAGAGCTTTACCTTTCCAGCCCTCCACCCCCAAACCGCCTCATTCCCATCCTTCAGTGAGGGCACAGCCTCCCCGAACCCCTGCAGGCAGGGGTGGGGGTCATGTCAGGAAGAACCCCAGCTCCTCAGCTTCGCCTTCAAAGGCCTCCACAACCTGCTGCTGCCGCCTACCTGCCCGAGCTTGGGCAGGCTCCCCGGCCCCACAGTGGGATACCTGGTGGGGGCTGCAGCTGAGCTTTTGCTCAAGGTGAACTCTCCCCAAAACCAATCTCATAAGGTCCAATCTCATTGGACCTTAAGGTCCAATGCAAGTCAGTATCTTAAGAGTTTTCAGATTGCCTTAGTCAAAGTTAACCTTCACTTTCCCCATATTCCTGTAACACTTGGGGCCTCTCAGACAGAACTGCACCTTTTCCTTACCTTCCCCTGGGGGGGGGAAGGTAAGGGCTACATCTGTCCTCCCCTCTTGCTCCAGAAAGCCCACCCAGTGCCTGCACAGCAGATGGTGAGAGGGTGGGTCTGACTCTGGACCCCTCAGCTTCCTGTCATTCACAACTTAGCATTAGAAGGACAAAGAATTTATTATAATATCTCCACTCACATTCAACAAACACCTGAGTGCCAGGGATGTTTCAGGCAGTAGGAATACAGATGAAATAATACAGTCATCGGTCATCCAAGGACTCACCCTCTCCGGGATAAATGTACAAAGAAACAGTTAACCCAGCCATGGCAGCACGGGCGACTTCCTGGCAAAGTGGAGCCCGGGTGGACTAGTCCAGATGGAGGGGAGGAAGGGCCTCTGGGCAGAGGTCAGAGCCTAGACTCAGGACCACGTCACTTAGGAGGTGCCACCCAGGAGAACTGGTGTGGCTGGAGCCCTCTGTGGAGGGTCTGACCCTGAAGGCAGCAGGATGTTACAGGAAGAAGTGACCCAGTCTCGTGGAGTTTAGATCCCTCAGGGCACAGAGTGGAAGACAGTCTGGAGCCCAGGAGGGATCCTGGCTGAGAGGGAGACTTTTACATTATTAGCACAGGAATAGTAGTTAAATAAGATCATTCATGGAAGTGCATATAGAGAGAAACTCAACAGATTTCATTCCAAAAGGGAAAAGAGGCAGGGGAACTAATTATTAAAAGAGCCTTGAGAAACCATCAGCAAAATGAAAAGGCAGCCCACTGAACAGAAGAAAATATTTGCAAATCATATACAAGGGGATAATACACAAAATACACAAAGAATAACTCAATACCAGAAAATAAAAATGTGATTTAAAAATGGGCACAAGACCTAAACAGACATTTTTCCAAAGAAGGCATATAGATGTCCAACAGGCACATGGACAGATGTTCACCATCACTAATTATTAGAGAAATGCAAATTAAAACCACAATGAGATGTCACCTACATCTGAAAGGAGAAGAGCGGTCATCAGAAAGACAAGAAGTAAGTATTGCTGAGGACACAGAGAAAAGAGAACCTTCATGTACTCTTGGTGGGAGTGTAAATTGGTGCAGACACTGTGGAAAATTATACAGAGATTCCTCAAAAAAGTAACAATAGAACTACTATATAATAGAGCAATTCCACTGCTGGGTATTTATCCAATGCAAATAAAACACCACCTTTAAAGACATATGATCACTGCAGCATTATTTACAACAGCCAAGATATGGAAACAACAAATGGATGAATGTACAGAGAAGACGTGGTATATATACAATGGAATATCGTTCAGCCATGATAAAGAATGAAATCTTGCCATTTGCAACAACATGGATAGAACTTGAAGGCATTATGCTAAGTGAAGTAAGTCAGAGAGAGGAAAATAAACACTGTGTGATCTCATATGTGAAATCTAAACAAAAGACAACACAATCATAGATACAGAGAACTGACCAGTGTTTGCCAGGGCAGGGAGTAGAGGGTGGGCAAAATGGTACAGGGAGTCCACAGTACAAATTTCTGGTTATAAATTGTGGGGATGTACAGTACAGCATGAGGACTAGTTAACAATGCTGTGTGCATATTTGAGAGCTGATAAGAGAGTAAACTCTTAGGACTCCCTTCAACAGCCAGGAGATCAAACCAGTTAACCCTAAAGGAAAGTAAAAGTTGCTCAGTTGAGTCCAGTGGAATTCTCCAAGCCAGAATACTGGAGTGGCCTAGAGGAAAACATAGGCAAAACATTCTCTGACATAAATCATAGCAGGATCCTCTATGACCCACCTCCCAGCAAATAAAAGCAAAAATAAACAAATGGGACCTAATTAAACTTAAAAGCTTTTGCACAACAAAGGAAACTATAAGCAAGGTGAAAAGACAGCCTTCAGATTGGGANGTGCAGTATATTAATTAATGCATATATATGGAATTTAGAAAGATGGTAATGATGACCCTATATGCAAGATAGCAAAAGAGACACAGATGTAAAGAACACATTTTTGGACTATGTGGGAGAAGGTGAGGGTGGGATGAGTTGAGAGAACGTCACTGAAACATGTGTATTACCAAATGTAAACTAGATTCCAGTGTAAGTTCAATGCATGAAGATGGGCACCCAAAGCTGGTGCACTGGGACAACCCTGAGGGATGGGGTGGGGAGGGAGGTGGCAGGGGGGTTCAGGATGGGGGACACATGTACACCCATGGCTGATTCATGTCAGTGTATGGCAAAAACCACTACAATATTGTAATTAGCCTCCAATTAAAATAAATAAATAAATTGAAGAAAAAAAAAAAACACTGGAGTGGGTAGCCTTTCCCTTCTCCAGGGAATCTTCCCAACCCAGGGATCAAAACCAGGTCTCCCACATCGCAGGTGGATTCTTTACCAGCTGAGCCACAAGGGAAGCCCAAAACCACTGGAGTGGGTGGCCTGTCCCTTATCCAGCAGATCCAGGAACTGAACCAGGGTCTCCTGCATTGCGGGTGGATTCTTTACCAGCTGAACTACTAGGGAAGCCATCCTAAAGGAAATCAACCCTAAATATTCATTGGAAGGACTGATGCCGAAGCTCCAACCCTTTGGCCACCTTATGGGAAGAGCCAACTCATTGGAAAAGACCCTGATGCTGGGAAAGACTGAAGGGAGGAGGAGGCGGCAGCAACAGAGGATGAGATGGTTGGATGCCATCAACAACTTAATGGACATGAGTTTCAGCCAACTCTAGGAGATAGTGATTTATTGTGGTGATCATTTTGTTATACATGCAGATATTGAGTCATTATACTGTACAACTGTAACTAACACAACTTGTCAATTATATCTCAGCAAACTAAGAGCCTGAGCAGAGATACTAAGTGCCAGAGCACTGCTGACCTGGTTTACACCTCCAGATCAGGTGCAGTGAGGAAATGAGTCTCAATTAACAAGTGTTTTCATTTGGATGAGAAATTATATGATTGCTTAAAAAAACATCAGACCTTAAGGACATTCAACAAAACAACACTCCAGCATTGTTTCAAAGTGTCACAAAGTGCCACGATAGACAAAGGATGGAGGGACCATCACAGACTGAGGGC